TGGAGTTGTTCTTAAGTTTCATGAGACCAGCATTTGTAACGTAAATAGCAGCTGCCTTATCTGATACCTTTCATACAATGTATTGCATTCTGCAGTGACAGGAATAGTGCAGACTGGGCACAATGTGGAAGTGATGTGTGTTTATATTTTTGGCATGGCTTACTTAAATATATGGCCAAAAAAAAAAGTATCGGAGGAACTGAGTGGGATTGAAAAGTATTGGGGTTTCTCCTCCCGTTTGTTATATTCTATTATAAAAAGAATTATGAGTATTAGGACTCCTAGTAATGTCTGAAGGTGTGTTTGATAAAGCATCGGAAAGGACCCAAACTCCTAAGGCACATTTCCTGAGAATTAGATTTTAGGGAGCATGCGGGGAATGGTACTGGGAAAGAGACATTCAGGGAGAATTGTACTTGCCAGCCATCCCATAGTCGCTTCCTAAAGTGAGGAAAAAAAGAGGTGGGGAAAGATCTGTCTCCTCACATCAAGCTCAGCCTGGTGTATATAGTTTTAATACTCTTCAGAACATCCCTTATATTTTATCTGCTCCAGTTTTTGGGGGGCAGAATTTCTAGCACATCTTTTCTCCTCTTGTCCTGGTTTTTGTAATTCTTCCCACTTGTGCTTCGGTTTTTCTTGTACCACCTTATCCTGTTCCCTGGCTTATGATCAGCTGGACCAACCAGAAAAAGCCCCATTTCTCCCAGTTGGGATCTCTTCAGCTCCTGTCTCCGTGTGTTGTATTCTATTTGTGCTCCTTCATGACCACATTGGGTGAGCAGGATCTTAATTCCCACCTCCCAAGAGAAGGAGAAACTGTTATTGGTTTATCTTTAGAGTTCAACTGCCTAAAGCGCTGGATACTGTACTAGGAGGGAAATAATTCTGAACTAGGAAAGGATGGAAATAGATGTGGTAAGCAGCTAAAATTAGTATTATATGTAGTTGACCAAAAATCAGCCCTTGGAAAAAATTGGGTTTCCTTTTTGGCTTTGCCACTAACTTGTGAAGATGGGCAAAAATATGTTAGGTTGCCTGTAAATCAAAGGTGTTTTAGGCACGTGTATTATGCTAAGATTGAGTGCAGGGTTCAGACAGGGATAATAGGTTATTACACTTTATTCTGTTAAAATGCACCACGGTTAAAGGCGGTCGTTCTGCATTGCTAATTAATTCCTCTGAAGTGTTTATAAAGAAAACATCCTTAAACCCCTGATTGATTTGTTGTTTTACAGTGAGTTCAGTTTGGTGAGGTTGTGTTTTCACACCTCTGCACTCTTGTTGTAAATTGTAGTAATCCAAAAACTTCTTTCTTTTTTTTTCCCCATGTAGAACCACTTAGTTTTACAGGACAAGGTGATATATTTCTGACCTGTAACGCAATTTACTAAAACTGTGTTAGTTACCCTGAGTATATTGTATTTGCTGAAGGACTAGAAGAGAACAAATTCGATAAAAAAAAAAAAGTCTGAAATGGTAATGTATAATCTTGTAACGCAATAGCAAATAAAATAAATAACCAATTTTTAACATGGGCAAAAATTTAGCGATTGAGTGTGTGTTGAGATTTGTCTTTAGGACATCAAATAATTGGAAGAGAGGGTAGGTTATGAGAGGCAGAACATCTAATGGAGTCAAAAATGCTCTTGCGGCAGAGTTACAATAATAATTGAATAGGTTAAAATACACCTTCCCTTCAGCTCAGGGTTACTGCCCACTCAGCTCACCCACTGACTGTGAATGCTTCTTGCCTATTTTAATTCAAAATAAGACGAGTCCATTTTAATCACCAGTGGAGCAGCTGGTAGCAGCCTCTGTCAGGAGGAGGATGTCAGTCTTGTTTGAAACCATATTCCTTGTATTTTTGTAGTGGGTAAATAGATTTCAGAGTTGGGGGAATGGTGCTTAAAAATCAGTTGGAAAAAGAAATTGGGTTTTTTGTCAAATAATTCCCTATCTTACGCCACCCAATGTGTATTCAAGATGCTTAGCTTTTATAAATGAAAAGCTTTGCATCTCTCTGGGTCGGAATTGTTAATGGGATGGGGAGTCAGGAAGGTGGAGAGGCTGCTGCATCCCGGCCCGGTACTTAGCCAGCAATATCAGCATCCCCCTTTGGCCGTGGTCCAGGGGCTGCGCCTCTGTATCTTTGTTCTGAAGGATCGATGTAGATTGACTGGGGTTCAGGAGAGGATTTTGTCAGGCAGCTTTCAAGCCGTGAACGCCGAGGCCGGTCCCTCGTTTGTGGAGCTGACAGTCCAAAAGTGAGCGTTTGACACGTGGCTGCCTCGGCGGAGGGGGGAGGGAGGCTGGTGAGGATTTTTTCAGACATCAGGCTGTAAATGAAGTTGTTCTGTTGGGTCACTCATCTGATTTACACACAAGCTGTTTCTATTGAAGCACCTGGGGCCTTTTGTTCATGCTTGTGAATAAGCCTCTTTCAGTCACCAACAGTAATTTAGCGTCTCTGCTTCCTTCAATAGGTAAAAGGCAAGTACAGGAATGACATTTTCTCCCACACTGTGTGCAGCTTCACACGTATATTTTAAGATAGGTAACAGAACTGCATCAGTGATAGAAATTTTGGTATATACTGGAGCAGATGGGGAAGTCATGTAAGGTGGTGGTAATTTCTTACTGCATACTGCCTAATTCTGGAATAATACTAAGCGGCGAAAGTGCAGGGGTGAGTAATGATACCCTCTGGGGGTGCAGGGAGTTCTGCAGAATAGACTTCCATGATAACAAAGGAAAACATTGGCAGTTTTAGAGGAAGATGTTTCATTACCTTGCCAGTGCCCTGGCACGATGGAGTGCCAGACCTGCAGCTTGTACTGACTCTGACTTGAGCCATAATCTCCCATAAACTTTGAGGCAACTTAAACTTGCCTTTCCACTGACAGACCGAGCCTCATTTTCCATGCCTCTGTGTCTTTCCATGCTTTGCTCAGTACAAGTATTTCAAGTAACCTCTTTCCTCTTGCCGGTCTAATTTTAATGGCAATCAGTTCTTTGAGTTCGTTATCACAGCACGAAAACTTGAGTCAGCGTGAGGGATGGGGAAGCCTGAGAAGAGGGAATAAATGGCTGGGGCAAGACTTTCATAAGTCTGTTTGCAAAAAAAATGAAATTAAATTAAAAAACCTCACCTCATATTTATTTTGTATTCTGTTATGAATCCTAGGGTAGATAATGGGAAGCAGCTGATACTTACCTAGTGAATTTGCTCTGTATCATCAGAGGTACCATGTTGTAGTTAATCTCCCTTGTTATTGTGGCGTTCTTGAAGAGCGACAAACAACTTTGATTTAAGTAAATGCATTATTTAATCAGTGAAATGCTGAACTCCTGCATCAGTAGACTGATGTCTACTTTATATATATATATTTTTTTTTTTTTTTTAAATGCTGATTGTCACAACAGCTTTTAATAGCTGGAGTGATACATATTACATTCCAAAGCAAAGACTGCTGGCATTTGGAGGGTTTTTGTGCGTGGGAGTGTTTGTTTTCTGGGAGGTTAGGATGGCAGACGAGGAAATTTGGCTCAGATTTTTCTTGCTTGTCATAAGACTATGGCTGTAATTTTCTTTGGTCTTCAGAAGGGGCATTATCTACAAATTCACGTGATAGGTAATATTATAAAGTACTCAAGTTTCTAGAGTTTCAGTATCTTTGTAGAGTGTTTTTAAAAGACAAAAATGAGGCGAGGAATTTGTTTTAAGGTATCATAAAATTCTAATAAGCACATTTGTATAGGTTGTGTTCCTCAGCAGGCCTTTAGTACTATTTCTGGAAGAGCAGTGGAAATGACAACAAAGTACAGGGACGAAGGTGGTGACGGACAGGGTTAATCTCTCCGTGGCTGCCTGCTCGGGACCAGATTAGGGATGTTGGTGATCACCTTTCTGCTCATTCAAGGATGGGTTACGTTGCTCCTACATACTAATTTAGAGCAAGATTGTGCAAGGTTTTCTAGCCCTCTTAAGAGCAGCGAGAAACGGTGACTCAAAAGGCAGCTGTCATTTCATACCCATTCCAGCTGCCCTTTCCGCTCAGATTTCCTCCCATCCCCCCTTTAAAAAAAGAAAGGGAAGGGGAGGGGGAGAGAATTGCAAAAAAGTGTATGAGGGTTTGAAATCTCTAGCATCTATCACCTCCTATAGTTTTCATAGCTATCTGCTAATTTAAAATCTACTTGTTTTTTTTCCTGCCTTGCCAGTAATTAGACAAATGCAGCAGTGCTTATGGCATCAAAAGCTCCGTGGCTGGTAAAAGCAATTGCTACCATAATGCATCCCTAAATTTAATAGTAGTGGTGTAAAACGAACAAGCAACTCTCTATAATTCAGGGGGTAATGGCTTTAACTATCAAAATGGCTAGTATTTTCCTTGATTGGCTGCTTTGGCTCCTTTTTTGTATTTGTGTTTGGAGGAAGAGAATCAATTTATTATAATAATTGTATTGTATTTAAGGAATAACAAGGCAAGCAGAAACATGAAACTCCTTTCAAGTGTCACCAAGTTCCTATTCACCTTGGATTGCAAGTTTTTCCTTTTATCCTCTTTACAGACAAAACCCAAACATACAAAACCTTTTCTTTCCCTACCAGTGTTACACTGAAAGCTCTCATTTCCTTTTCTGCTTCCCTTGCAAAATTGCTTGCTTTGTGTTGTGCCTGGAGCCTGGCTGTGCATGAAGACGAGGCCTGATTAATTGGAAAGGAACTTTTTGTTACTGGAAAAACTCAAACATTGGGGTAGAAAATCGATCGAAAAATTTACTTTCTTGATCCATAGTGCCTTTTTTCGTGCAACTATGATGTCTCCTCCCAAGGAAAAGACTCATCAGCAGTTTTGAGTTCTCTTAAAGATGTCTCAGTCTTTAAGGCCAGGTGCGGTTGTGTTGATGCCATTTTGGCTAAGCCTTGAAAGTTCCTGTAATCTGTGCCATCCTGTCTCATACGGTCCCATCTCATAGTTGTCCTCTCTCTGCAGTGCTCTATGCCCAGATCTCTGTGGCTGGGCTGCTCCAGCCTGGCGGACAGCATGCCCTCGCTGCGATGCCTCTATAACCCAGGGACTGGCGCACTCCCAGCTTTCCAGGTACTTTCTGTCTCTCCCCACTCCTTCCTTTTCTCTCCATCTGTGTACGTGTGCATCTCCTTCTTTACTTCCTTGACCTTCCATTTATTCTGCCTCATACGGTATCCCCTCTCCTATGTCATTCAGATCTCCTCTGGTATTTAAACCCATCTTGTGTAGATTCAGGGGCAGCTCAGTATTGAAGCATTTCCATTACCCTTGATGTAATATAATTATTTCATCTAAATTGGCGTGGTACCATCATCTTTTCCATTGGCTTTCGATTGTGTCAAAAATATACCACTTAATTATATTTGGCAAAGAGTATCCATCACACAGTCTCCAATCTGGCTATTCATGCAGTGATTCCCCTCCTATCTAAATTTTCTCTGTGCCACTCGGAGGGCTGAGGGGGTGGGTTCATTGCCGTAGTGATAATTGATGCCAGCTTTTGTTTACTTCAGGTTTGTTAGCGGTAGCCTGGACATTTTGACTACAGAAAATGATTGTACAAGTCAGCTGTCAATCAAAAGGCAAATAAAGGAAACCTGTTTTTCTCTTTGGTCCCTGAATTTGTGAGGTTGGAGACAGCTTTCTGCCAAACGGGTTTGTTCAGGCACTTTGTGTGACCGGTGAATCTCTGCAAAATGCAGCCACCCACCCGTGGGCAGAGCTGTTGGGTGAGCATCTAGAAACCCAGACAAGGCTCTCAAGAGGGTTGCAAACATTTTACGATGACGTGGGTATGACCAGGAGAGCATCAGAGGCTGGAACTCCAGAGATGATGTGTTCCTGTTGGATACTCTGTCTCTGAGATGTTCTGTGTGACCTGCAGTGACCGAGGGACCTGGGGAGTATCTCAGACTGCACATTCATTGGAGCTTTGTGGTGTCATGAATGTTGTTTTCAAGGTTGGTGCTGCTGGATTACGCTGCTGCTGACCTAACCTGTGGCAGAGAGTTTTATTCACCAGCACCTTGTAAAACCAGACACAATGAATAAGCTAAAATCTTCCTGAAATTTTCAATCATTTCGGTGAAAGTTCATTACCTGCCTCTAAAGTACAGCCTGCAAAGATTATGTTGAATTTGGCTTCTTGCTCGCGGGGCCAGGAGAGTGCTGTGGAAATAATCCTCACGGTCTCAGGGGAGGCTTAAGTGTCTTGCATCATTTTGCTGAAACTCTTTTTGCTGACCCAGCAGTAGCACTGATGGACTCTGGAAGGTGTCCTGCCAGGCCTCCTTTGCTGAAGCAAGCTTTTAGCGCAGCTTTCCGTGGGGGAAGGGGAAGGCGACTTTTTATTAATCTAAGAGGACTCTGGAGACAACAGGCAGAATTTAGACTCCTACTTCTAATCCTGATTTGCATAATTTGACTAAATCGGATGGGCCTCATTTTTGGGCTTTCTGCTGTTGAATAAATCTCAGATCTCTTTAAGCTCAGGTTTTAGAGAACCTTAGGAATATACGGAAAGCAATTTATAAACTCGAATTGGGGCTCCTTTCTTTCTACTTGAATTATTTTTGATTACTCAGAATAAGCATATATTACAAAGGGGAAGGGAAATTAGCCTCTTTTAGCTCAAGATGTTCTTGCTAATGATAGATATGAACAATAACTTTTCTGCTAATGCAGCGTGCTGATATTTGGGGTCAAATGAGTCAGCGGCACAAGTATTCACTGCGCACTGCCTGCTTGGGGGAGTAGTAGGACTTGGACCTTCGTGTTCCTGCAGATTCTGAGAGACATTTCCATGTGTATTTAGTGAGAACTGGGGAGCTTCCCACTAAGGGAACTGTGGGAAGGCTCCGGGGAGACCTTATAGCAGCTTTCCAATATCTGAAGGGAGCCTACAGGAGAGATGGGGCGGGACTCTTTGTCAGCAAGTGTAGTGACAGGACAAGGGGTAATAGTTTTAAATTGAAAGAGGAGAGATTTGGATTAGATACCAGAAAGAAATTCTTTGCTGTGAGGGTGGTGAGAGCCTGGAAGAGGTTGCCCAGAGAAGCTGTGGCTGCCCCATCCCTGGAGGGGTTCAAGGCCAGGCTGGATGGGGCTTGGAGCAACCTGGTCTGGTGGGAGGTGTCCCTGCCCAGGGCAGGGGGTTGGAACTCGATCATCTTTAAGGTCCCTTCCAACTCTGACCATTCTGTGATTCTAAGTCTGTCCCACTTGCCATCTGAAATGATATACTGGTACTCTTCGAAGCTCTCCAGCTCCTGTGTTGAGGAACACCTTTAGTGCCAGTTGAGAGAGAAGCTAAATTGCCAGCAGCAGCTTCTGTAGCAATGAGTCATCCATATTTCAGTCCATTTTTTTTTTCAATGGGCTTTGATCCCCATTAACCTGCATGGTTTTAAGAAAAGTCCCCTCTCTGAGGCATGGCTGCTGCCTTTTCCAGTGCAGAAGACTACATGGGAGCGGTTTGAAGCCTGCTTGAAGATGTGATGTTGCAATATTTCATTGTTCTTTAATGCTGCTTTTTTTTTTTGGTATCAAATCTTCAGGAAAGCATTAAAGACTTTGTTGTAGCCCAGCAAATTTTCTCCTATTAAGTTATTTTCTCTTTTCTGTAGCAAGCTTGAAGTAACTGGAGAAGCATATCAATGTTCTTTGCTTGTGGCAAAAGAGAAGATGCCATCTGGAAGGCTACTTAGTCACTGCTGAATTTGTCTAGTTATTTACATGCTTACCTTCAGATGCTCAGACTGAAACATGGAAAGAGGCTCTTTTTGAACAGCTCAGTTAAAGCCCTGCTGACTCCTGGGAAACATTGGCAGATAGTCGATTTAGAGATGATTCTGTTAATATGTCAGATAACTTCATTTTATTAATTTGTGTGTTTTTATTGTGGGAGACGCTTGTGTGAAAACAGGATCTTCTGGTTCCTCAGCTCTGCCTGGCAATCCTCCCACAGTGGGAAAGGTTTTTAAGGCTAAACCTAGAAATGGGGGAATATGGAGCTAGAAACAGTTCTTCTTAACATCTTTTATCTCAGAGGGCGTTGCAGCTGACAGTCTGTCATCTCACTGAATTTCACAGAAATCCTGGTGGAAGATGGCAGCAAATTGGAACGTGAATTCCTATAGGGCACTGTGGGAAGAAGTCAAAAAGGATATTTTAACAAGAGAAAAAGGCCAGCCCTCCAAGACACCGTACTCTTGTTCTGCAAAGCAACTGAAAACTAGGTTGCATGAAGATTGTCTTAATTATAAAAAAAATAAAGTTATGCAGAGGATAGTATTTTCCTAGAAATCCGTGCTTTGGAAGTTTCCAGATGTGCCAACAGGTGTCTTGTTTTCATGACATTTTTCATTTGAACATAATTACTTTCCCTCTTAAAATATTTTCCCTGCGTGCTCACAAGGCTCAGTTTATGTTGCTTTTAATAGTCACAGTTCTCTGAGAATTCTGATTTCAATTACACCCATCAAGTGCGCCAAGGAAATTATTGTATTAATCCTTCTGGGTTTGCGGAATTCCGTAGTATTTCCTTGAATTTGTTTCTATACTGTATAAATCATAGAATCATAGAATTGTCTAGGGTGGAAGGGACCTTTCAGATCATCCAGTCCAACCATCACCCTCACTCTGATACAAACCATCACTAACCCATGGCTCTAAGCACTATGGCAACCCAGCTTTGAAATCCCTCCAGGGATGGGGCCTCAACCCCTGCCCTGGGCAGCCCATTCCAAGGCTTAAGAACCCTTCCCATGGAAAAATTGTTCCCAGTCTCCAATCTGAACCTCCCCTGGTGCAACTGGAGGCCGTTTCCTCTTGTCCCATGGCCTGTGAGTTGGGAGCAGAGACCGACCCCCCCTGGCTACACCCTCCTTTCAGGGAGTTGGAGAGAGCCAGAAGGTCTCCCCTCAGCCTCCTTTTCTCCAGGCTGAACCCCCCCAGCTCCCTCAGCCTCTCCTCATCAGACTTCTTCTCTAGATCCCTCCCCAGCTCCGTTGCCCTTCTCTGGACCCGCTCAATGTCTTTTTTGTGGGGAGGGGCCCAAAACTGGACACAGTGAGGAGACCTAAGGAGCAATTTGAAAGTCTTGCCAAAGGCTGTGTATCAGGGTGATCACAGAGCTCAGTTCTTCCTTTTCACCTAGTTGACACCCCTCACAAGTACCAGCTCCAGTTTAGATAGTAAACATTTTGGGACAAGAGTCATGCTTTTACTTCTTTGTTGGGAGTGTGGGCACCAGTGAAAAAGTGAAGAGTTGTGTTGTCATTGCCAGAGTGGAAAACTCTGTTTCTGTGACGGGCTTTAGTAGGCAAAGAGGAGGATTAAATTTTGTAATGGAGATAGCAGCATCTTGTTGAATGGAGAAGTCTCTCTGGAATCCCAGAAATTGTGTGGTGCGGTTGACAGACTGGAGGGAAGGGATGGCATCTGGAGGGACCTGGACAGGCTTGAGAGTTGGGCTTGTGCAAACCTCATGAAGTTCAACCATGCCAAGTGCAGGGTCCTGCACCTGGGACGTGGCAATCCCAGGCACAACTACAGGATGGGCAGAGAATGGCTGGAGAGCAGCCCTGAGGAGAAGGACTTGGGGGTGTTGGTGGATGAGAAGCTCAACACGAGCCGGCAGTGCGCGCTGGCAGCCCAGAGAGACAACCCCATCCTGGGCTACATCAAGAGAAGCGTGGCCAACAGGGCCAGGGAGGGGATTCTGCCCCTCTGCTCTGCTCTGGTGAGACCCCACCTGGAGTGCTGTGTCCAGCTCTGGAGTCCTCAGCACAGGAAGGACATGGACCTCTTGGAACGGGTCCAGGGGAGGGCCATGGAGATGCTCCGAGGGCTGGAGCCCCTCTGCTGTGAAGACAGGCTGAGAGAGCTGGGGGTGTTCAGCCTGGAGAAGAGAAGGCTCCGGGGAGACCTTATAACGGCCTTCCAGTACCTGAAGGGGCTCCAGGAGAGATGGGGAGGGACTCTTGGTCAGGGAGGGGAGCCACAGGATGAGGGGTAATGGCTTTAAATTGGAAGAGGGCAGATTTAGATGAGATACCAGGAAGAAAATC